CCGGGCGGAGCGGGGCACGCTGCAAAGCTGCAGCCGTGACGGAGGGAACGGACAGCTGCGGCGGACGGTGCCCGAGTCCGGCCCCGCCGCCCCCAGCTGGGGGCGGTGCAAACTTCGAAGGAACGTCTGGAAGGGGTTGGAGGGGATTAGCGGGGTGAGAAACACCCCCAGAGTACGGTAGACTATGTCTTTCAAGCTGAGGCCCTTTACCTTCCCGGCGGCACCTGTCCGGGCGGCTTCCCTCGGGCGGCGGCGGTGGAGGCGGCGACAGGGGTGGCGACTGCCGCGGGGGCACTAGCTTGCTTCCTCACTAAAGCGGGCTCCGGGAAATAATTTCCCGCCGCGCGCTCTGGGCAGCTCCGGAAGTGATCGGATCATTTCCGGGTGGTTGTCAGTGACGCTCTCGCAGCCGTCGCCAAGGTGGTCAGAGCTGGGTTCGGAGCTGGCCTCTGGCCGGCGTGGAAGGCTTCCGCTGCGTCCCCGTCGCAAGTGAGATCCTGGTAAGTGACGTTTTCCCTCCCTTTTTCTTTTGGTGGGTTGTCTCCTGGACCTAGTGTAGTTCGGACTAATTGCGGCATCTTGACCAAGACCGAGCGAGCGGGAAAGGACTGAACTGGAAGTCCCCCTCCGTCCCCGAGGCGCTTTTCCCTCCCTGTGGCTGGCGAGGGCCCCGGGATGCCGGTCCACCGTCTTCTCCACTGCAACCAGCAGCCTCAGCTGGCAATCCGCTCTTGGCTCTCCAAACTAAACAGTTGAGCTTAGTTCATTCTTCTCTTACCAAAGTACATGTGTCGTCCTTACTATCTTTTACTATAGTGACAGGATTTGATCACCCTCCGTTCTTAAAATTGCTTCCCCTCTCCCTCCCTCTCTCCCTCTCCTCCTTTCTCTACCCTTCTCCCTCTCTCCTCCTCCCTCTCCCTCTCCCTGATTCCCTACCCGCTTTTTTTTTTTTTTTCTGGAGTAGTTGAAATAGTTTTTGGAGTTCCATGCCTAGGAGTCAGGCCTTCGGTTGAAGACTACACCTTTGAAAAACACTGGGCAAGTGGAGTATCTGAGGTCGTTCCTGAACTGGAATTACTGTAATTTCACCTTTCCTCGCAGTTGTGAGTGAAGAGAATGGTCACCCTTCACCTGGCTTTTATGAACTAATGAGGTCGATAAGTAGCAGGCTTATAATTTCATACATAGACTTCAGGCGTATGTTTTATCTTCTGAAAAACCAGTGATCGGAATCAGGTATACTTTCACAAAGGAATTTTTTCACTTTGCTTTAGGCTTTTCTAATAATGAAGGACTTAGGAGAATTTGGGCGGAGATCTGACATAGCCAGAATAGTTATAAAAGGAAATTGCTTCTGGTGAATGATGTGAGGAAAAGTAATTATTTATTCAAAGATTTGAAACATAATGTAGTGAATTTGGCAACCTATCCTTTCTTGGGTAAAGCTGTTTCTCCAGGTAAGTAGTTTTCATTCATCACCTTATATTTCAGTATCAACTTTTTCTCTTATGAAAAGCAGCTGATTGATTTTTTCTGAAACAGCCCTTTATACAAGCAGTTCTAAGGATTAATCTACCATAATAAAAAGGTGATATGTTAAAGCTTAGTCAAGTGCCTTTTAAGAGCAAAGAAAACATATTTAGGACATCTTTTTTTAAAATAATTTCTCCATTGAAATATTCTGATGTTATCAAATCACATGGTATTCTTTTCCATTATTTCTTCAGTTGAAAAGATTGAAATTTATTTTAGAAAAATTATATGTTATTTCCATATAGTAACTAGTTTTGAGACAGCAGTTTTTTTTAAAACATTGCTCTTGATTTGTAATTTCCCCATTAAAATGAATAAGCCAACCCTTAATACATACCACAGTATCTACTGTACACTAGGCAATTTGCATTATTTTACTTAATGCTTACCTTAAAAAGAAAAATTGTTATCTATTTATACTTTTATACTGTTTCGTCGACCCTGATTTCTCACACATTATACTTAAGTGACATAACTAATATTTGAATCTAGTAGTGTGCTCTGTACTACTTCTTACACCACAAAATCATTCTTTTTGCTCAACGACAAAATGGAATAAATAGAACATCACATTTAGAAGTCACTGTGTAGTAAAACATGAGGAAAAGGGAATTAAGAAATACATTCATTAGCATAGGTAATTTTCAGATGTCAATTATAAAATGTCTTTTCTGTATTGACCATTTTAATAATCATAACTCAAACACCTGTACTATATGTACCTGAGCATAACAATACCAGCAACTACAGAAAAAGATACAATATAAAAAGATACAATTGTCCATATACAGCTAACTTAAAATACTGATGTCTATTTGTGTACTTTGTATTGACTTAACTACAGGAAACATATTTTTTTCTGCATATCACATGGAAAGATCTCAGGGGTATTTTGCTTTGTATCAAATTTCATTGCTTATAGTACTGTTTTAGTAGATAGTATAAATTTTAGGAGGTGGAGTCTAGCTTGAAAAAGTGAGTTACTGGAGTTGTGGCTTTGAAGATTATACGTGGTCTTCCCTCCACCCCTGCCTATCCTATACTCTGCATCAAGTTAAGAATCTCCTCCACAATATGCTCCTGTTACCAAAGTGCTCTGTCTAAGGTCATGGTATCAAGTACCCAGGGACTGAATTCTGAAATGCAAGCCAAAATAAATCCTTTCTCCTTTAAGATGTTCTCAGGTTCGAATACACCCAGCATCTAGCACTGTGGCTGGTAGGAAAAGCTCAAGAAACAACATCTATTGGATAAATGATTATTTTCAAAAATAGTTTATCCATCAAGAAGGATTTGTACATGTGTTGTTTAAAAAGACTTACCATATAAATAAATTGAGTGTTTGTTTATTGTTACTTATCTTGGCCTTGCAATCACTTGTTGGTAAAAAGAAACAAGTATTCTATAAAGAGTGGACTGACAGGAAGTGGTGCTGTGGCTCAAGTGGTAGAACACTTGTCTTGAGTTGAAATGCTCAGGGACAGCGCCCAGACCCAGAGTTCAAGTCCCACCACCAAAACACAAAACAAACAAACAAACAAAAAAGAGTGGACTAACAGCAGTATAATTGTGAATCCTTACTCTAACTTCCTTTTGCAGATAAGAAAATTAAGGTAAAGTTAAGTTTGCATATTGTCATAGTTGGCATATAATCATTACTGGCTTATCACACTTATGACTTGAACCAGTTTGAATCTGACTCTAAGGACTAAATTATTGTGGTGGTGATACTGGGGTTTCAACTCAGTGCCTTCCACTTGTTAGCCAGTCATTCTACCACTTGAACCAAATTCCCAGTCCTTTTTTGCTTTAGTTATTTTTCACATAGGCTGTTTTTTTTCATATCAGGCTTATTGTCTAGGTCCATTGTCAGACCACAATGCTGCTCCTACGTATGTCTCTTACATAGCTAGGATTACAAGTGCATACCATCATGCCTAGTTTATTGCTTAAGATGGTCCGGGGTTTCTCACTATTTGCCCAAGCTGATTTCTTTCTTTTTTTTTTCTCTCTCTCTCTCTCTCTATATATATATTTTTTGTGAACATACTGTGCAGAGGGGTTACAATTACATGGGCAGGATAATGCGTACATTTCTTATCAAGCATTGCAGCCTCCTTCTTTGTTTACCCTTCACATCCCTTCCCAGCCTCCCCCACATCCCCCCCACCCAATCCTCCCCCCCCTGCACCAACTTTGTAAAGCTCGTTTTCGACATGACAACTTGTACTTCTCATTG